TTGCACCAGTGCATATTTTTTTTAGAACATTCAAAACCCAATTTTTAAGGATTTTTAAGGATTTTTAATTTTATTAATTAATAATTATATTTAAATTCCATTTTTTTAAATATTTATATGAAATAAATCCTTTTTTAATAACGTTTTTAGTGCTTTTTTTCATTTTTAGTGCATATTTTAAAATGTATAGGGTCATATATAGGCGCATATTTTGGTGCATTTTAGTGGTAAGTCCCAAACCCCGCTAGTAACTAATAAATTCCTTGAAATTCCTAAAATTTAATTTTTATAGATCCAGATTAACTAAATAATATTTTGCTAAGGAATACGAAATAAAAAATGTACTTTCTAATCAATAAAAACTTTAGATGTATTGGAAAAATGTTTTTTCCAAAAATGTTTGTTTTGTAACTTACCTTCCTTAAGATTATGCAAAATAAATATTTTTGAAAACGTTATTATTTCTAAGACAATAATTGTCTTATGTTAAAATGATATAATCTCGTGCGTGTTACATATAATATAATATATGTATATATATGCGTGTAAAAATCCTGGATATCTAAAATGCACGCTTTATACTCTGCACAGGTATTCTTTAATTCGAGAATCACAATCGTTCACAAAATATACTGAGCCGTGCCTTTAGAACTTTTTTTTTTGAAAGCACGAAAAATGTCTTAAACAAGTCAACTCCTAATTTGAAGAAGTTTCTCTAACAGTATCTTAACGACCGACGCACCGTGTCGGGTGTGGCAACACTAATCGCATTAATGCAACTTAATGCGTTTTCATACGGTGGGGGAAATTCTAATTTTTTCGCGAAAAATATTTTTTTATTCGGATTTCGAGATTGTAAATTTAGGGATCACCACCACTGCTGCTACCACTATATAGATGCGCATATATATACCTAGAGGGTAATTATCGTATTCCCCTTTTTTACCCTCTGATTAACGTTAAGTGTTAGTTACAACGTCACCAATCAAACGGTGGTGACTGGGGGAGGGGCGGACCTCGTACTTTTCTCCAGCGGTCATTAAAAATTATCTTAACGATTGTTAAATCCTCTTATTTATATGCGCTCGGGATTAACACTCATTATGCGCTCCGGCATTGGCGGCGACAGTGGAGGAGTATAATTTCGAACCGACCAAATCCGTATAGGTATAATATGCTATTTTTATTATTTAAATCCGAGCATAACGGTACAATCTATACCTATATAAAATATAAAATAGCCGTTGTTGTTTGGCTCGTGCATATAATATGATAAACAAAGATGACGCTTTTCAGCACAAATAATATTATAATATCATTACTATAAAACCACACCCGACATTTACCCAATTCTCTACGAAAATATAAGCTGTCTATTATGTGCGTCACCCATGGAGAGATAGAAACAACTTTAGAGAAAAAATGGTCGAAAATGGCCTAAATATAGTTCTGCTCTATTGATCCGAAATGAAAAAAGATCGGCGGAAAAGTGTTATATTCGACGAAATATTTAGATTGCATTGAAAACGTTGTCGAGCCAAAGTATAGGATCAGTGTAATACAGATTTTTGAACGAACATAAACGCATCCTCACCTATTTAACAGATGTTGATTTTAAATTTTCAAATAATAGTTTATCGGGAAATCGGAAAACCCAGGGACAGAAGTTTTTTGTTGTTGTTGTCAAATTACATTTATATAGTAGGCACATATATAGCACCCCCACAAAAGGATTCACGTACATCTCTATTCGCCCACGCATTATATACAAAAGCGCCTGACTTCCGTTTTACAACAAAATATCACACACGTTGATACAAGCGTCACGACACTTTAATAGTTTATAATACCTATATTATATCCGGTGACGCGAGTGACTCGATTGATCGATGAATATTGTCTGCGGAGGAAAATTTATAGCACACACTCCTATATACATCGTGTGTCATTATAGTAATAATAGTCATAATAATATCATCTTTATTACATAAACAATATTACTATTAAATTGTGATGCCATGCGATTCTCGTCATATCCGAAACTGTCGTGCACTCGTATCCGGTGCACATCAATATCGTGCAGTCGATTTCGTAAAATTTGAATCCGGAAACTACCATCACAACCATCCTCGATTTTTCGTCCAGCACTGCAACGTTGAGTCGCACTACAATAATTCCCATCAATATATAATATTAATATTATTATTATTTATAACCTATGGACTATGACAGTATATGTATAACGAATTCGTCGAATTTCATTTTTTGCAATAACAAAATAAGAAAATTGACCTGCTGCACCGATGACATCTATAGCGAAACGTCGGAATTTATTTGCCATAATATTATCTGAGCCGGCTCGCTAATTGCCAGTTCACCGACAGAGAAGCGCACTAACCTCGCACATCGCATATATAATGACGTGCGAAAAAGCCCAAGCCCCCAGTTTTTATTATTTTCTTTTTTGTATACGTTGTAAGTATTAAGTGTGCTCGTAAATATAAGAGTCCTGACAACAAAAACGCCTCGCGCCTATCATTTACCACTGGTGTAATCTTACATTATACTCTCCGAGTGAGAAACCAATCCGAGAGGGAATATCATATATTTATATACATAAAATAATAAATAATTTATAGTAATATATTGTGAAAAATGAAGTCTTTAAGACGAACACGGAGAAAACGATTATTTTTCAACGTTGCACAGTGTGCATTACGGACGTTCCAAAACTGTGTCCGTCATTATATAATACAGCATTACAGCTATACCTATTAGACACGGTTCGTTATTTGACAATTTGGAGATCAGCGAACTGAAAGTTTATCCAAGGTATGACACTGTCACAATGCCAAGCGTCGAACAATTTCACTGTGTACAAACTCAAGTTAAACTTGTGTACCGCCGAGTGTAAGGATATATATTATATTGTAGGTATTTTTGACTTGACATTTAATCGTCAAAACACTAAGTCGCGTGGGTTATTGTAACGTCAAAAACTCAAAGACGAGAGAAAAAAGTACAAGTAAATTATTATACAGGACGATTTTAACCAAGCATGATCACCGCCGTTTTATTTCAACAATTAAATTTTCAAATTCTGATTTTTGATATTTTTAAAAATATGTACGTATTTGATGTACCTATTTAACCATCTTTTTTTTTATAATTTGTGCTTAAGAGGTGTCCTGTGATGATATTATAAACTTATGTTGTTTAAATGAGAGCTCCCCCCCATTTTACTGTAAATTATTTAGGTGAAATTTTTTTAAACATTTTGATGTAGGTACTTACTTAAAAATTTAAACGAGTAGCTTATCAGATATCAAAATGTCTATGCTAAAGTAAATGATATAGTCCTTAAAAATGGTTTTCCAAAAATGTAAAGTTGATGAATTATTAATATCAGATCCAGAATTTATCATACTTGGACCTATTAATGCTGATGAATTAATATTAATCACATCAATTTTAAAATCTCCATATAACTCCAATATTTTCTTAACCCATTATCGTGGTCCTGTTATCCTACGATTATCTTTAGAGTACAAAGCTGAACAGCTGAAAAACTAGGTACCTACTACAATAGTTAGAATTTTCTTTCTGTTACTTTGAAATGATTGGAAAAATTATTTGTTAAATAATATTAAAAGTAAAAAATTAAGGTTCTCTTCGAAAAACATAAGTTCTAATCTAAACGGAACAATCCTTTTTTTTTATTATTTAAGAAAATTTACAATCTATATACAATTTATATAATAAGTAAATATGATGAGTACAATATTACAGGACATGAAAATCTGAGGGAAGGAAGTGTCCAGTGACACTACTTCCAATTTAAACTTAGGGGGGAGGTAACTTTATAATAAGTAGCACTAAGCATTTTTTAATAAATCACGCGGCCTTTTGCGTTTGAGGTGACGAGGGTGGTTATCAGGGATTGTTAGAAAGTTTTGATATGAGTGGGTTTGGATGGTTAAAGGTATTTTTATGAAATTTGTCATAATGATAAGAGGCAAGTGTGGATTTTGATGGTATGTTGAGATCATGATTTAGGGTGCGGTTGCTGACGTACCGGGGAGCATTAGAGAGGACACACAGAGATATTGATTGGAACGCTTAGAATTTGATTAGGTTTGAGTTTTTAGTGGTACCCCACATTGAATTCCGTAAGTCATTGCTGGACGTAATATTTGTTTATATATTAGTGTTTTATTATTTAAAGGGATTTTGGATCGTAGAAGTGGTCTTAATTTGTGAAGCCTGAGATTAAGGGAAGTTGTTCTTTTAGCTTTGATGTGATTAGCCCAAGTTAGTATTTTGTCGAGAAGGAGTCCTAGGTATTTAACGGAATCGACAATGGGAATTGTTTGGTTAAAGGAACAATCCTAAAGCAGTACAAAAAACATTTTTTTTTTGAAATGCTGGGTTTTGAATAACTGCCATTATTGAAGGAAACGAGTGAGTGAGTGAGTGGGCCTGTATAGTTAATCACCCGGTGTGCAGTATTATAGGTAACGACTTTTATTGTTATTAATTGTCAACTTGTTTTATACGCGGAAGACATATAGGTAGGCACTTAGGTGGTTTTTTGATATGTTACTGAAAATAATATTATGCACATTACGCAGTTGGGTAATGTAAAATATCAATCACTCTATGACGATATTACCACGAAACGTAAATCATTTCACTTCGCCGTTTTGACAATGATTTTCGACTCACCGATTGATTTACGGCGAACTGATAACTTTACGGCAGCTCTCCGTTATTTAATATTTTGCTTTCAGCGAACCTGTCTCATTCGCCCCGTCTCCGTCGTCATTCGAATTGATAATAATAATAATATATAGATCGGACCGCATCGATGGTTACCTTGTCCCAGGCGACTATTGCACATTATTTTCTATCGATCATATTATTATTATCGTCTGTTGTTATCGGGTCGTGCAGTCTGTCACCGCGTCGCAGTGTGCGGCCAATCAGATGTCAGCGTTTCATATATTTCATATTTTTCCCAGTACAGATTTTTTTTTTCTTCCATTTCATTTAATACGTTCTCATTTGTTTCTCGCTACGTCTGTCTGACATATTTTCTTTGCGTCTTATTATAGTTTTTTTTATAAAATCATTTTACCCATAATATAAACTTCACGCACAGCATATAATATTGTAGTACACGTTTGTTACCTACAAGAACTTAACTTGAGTCCACGTCATCGTCTCAAAATAAAATGGAGCTGCGACTAATTAAGTGAGTAGTGAAATTGCCCACATAAAAGTGTCACTAAAGAGCGACTTCTTTCTCAAGACTAGGTACGTATTGTCAAATAACAACAATTTATAAAATGATACAGGTATGCTTCTTTTACAACAAGAAATTTATTGATCGTGAATCACAAATATAAAATTAAAAAAATTATTTTATGTACGTATACCATATTATTATATTAATGGCGTTTAATTATTATACGTGGGTAAGGACACCAAATATTAATATGTAGTACCTACTATAAATTATTGTATTGAATTTAGCGTAATATAGTTTTTCGCATAATTATTTTATGCTAATATAATAAAATTACGAATCGATGGAATGTAAACATTAAAATAAATGTCATTAACTATATTTGTATCTGAATTGAAACGGTCACAAAATACATGACAGTTTATAATTTAAAAATATTTTATACTCTTATTATATTATGTTTACAAAAGTTTAAGATTAAAATGAAATAAGTAAGCCTCGTAGCATAAATAATAAAATAATTTAAATTTACAAATTAAAAAAAAACATCAATAATTATAATTATAAAGAGTTAATTAACTATTTTCTGAACGCATACATAAGTCAAGTCCAGTTTAAAAATGGACGGAGTGGGTAGAAAGTCTTTAAATTGCCGTGAATGTCATTGACGACAAAATGTTTCTATTCATTTGGAACTTAATATTTCTTCGTGTAAACGGTGCTGCCACGAACACTAATCTTTTGTCAAGAATTTATTATAGCGAATAGTTATTTTTTTTCTGTAGAGGAAAAGTAATTAAAAGAAACCTATTTTAACATTATCATGAACGGGGTGAAGGAAATTACTGCAAACTATTCAATTTAAGACTTCGTATTTATACTAAAAAAAAAAAAAACGTCAAAGGAAACCAAATAACGTTATATTTTATTATCGTTTTTTTCCCTAAATTTTAATCTCTTTATTCTTTTATAAAACTAAAAACACACATAATTTCGATTTTTACCGCGTTTCATAAATTAAGTCAGCTCGGTATAATCTATTTCTCATTATCTTATAATATATGTTATGTAAGTTTCTAACATATTATTTATTATCTTTTGTTTATTACTATTAATTATATTATCATAGAGCTTTGCTAAAGATGTTTCAAAGTGGTTTGATTTATATTCGTAAAATTTTCACATTTACCACTGATGATTTATAATATTATAACAACTATCAAAATATTTTTTTACGGTAGTGAAATTCTCGAAAAAAAATTAAATTTAAATTTTTACCGTAATCAAAATTACTGAAGTACAAACAAGATATTGTTCACTTTTAATAACCAACAAGTAAACGGTTAAATTATTTATTACTTTTCGAGACGAATGTACACATGACAAATCATATAATAATTACCTACATAAAATATAGTTGTGGATACAATATAAATAATATTAATCACTAATTATTAACAAAAAAATTAAATGATATAATAAACGTTTGGATAAATGTATGAAGAACGAATATCCCATTACAAATGCTGGTAATAATAATATTTAGAGTAATTAAAAATATATATTTAACTAAATATTCTCGAAATTTGATAGTTTTTAATGAGATTCGATTTTATTATTTAACCGTCGTGAATTTTTAAGTACTCGTTTCTTAACGCCACAAAGTTCATAATAGTTTTTTATATTTTGTCAGCTGGACGTATTTTTTAATGATCTAGACAAATTTGATACGTGTACAAAATGATTGTACAACGTCGTCGGAATACTTGGAATCTTGAATTATAGTTAAGCAGAGCAAACAAATTAGCATTTTAAGTGTCCTGTGGTTTCGAAGTAGTTTCAAAAGTGTTTAAGTTTTTTGGGGTTTTTTTGCGTCTTTCCAGGTCCCCGAAATCCAACGATAAAGCTGGGTTGACTTTAATTAGTACAAACTTAATAAGGAATAATGTTTCGGTTAACAGAGTTGAAAACTTTCGCGTAGAGTGTCTCTTGAATGTTAATACCATTTTGACTAATTCATTGAAGATTAACACCTCACGGGACGACGACCGGTGTCTCTTTTTCGTAATTCTTGGCTCAAGTTTACGGAGCCGTCTCCGGATTGAATGGGAAACAAACAAGAAACAACAATAATCAGAACGAGATGGGTAATTCCGCCTCAGAGTACGGCGATAAAATTAAAAAACATAACACATCTTAAAACAAAAGAGACCGTATACTCGGGAAAGTTTTTCAAATATAATGATTTAAAAAAAAACCTCAACCCAGGTGAGACGGTTAAAATTTCCTTAGACGCTCATAATCATGAACAAATTCTAGCTGTGTGAAACTCCTTTGTTAATCCTTGAATATATAATTACGTTCCTGTAAATAATATCTCACCCACCCTCCACCCCCACTTCGAGAGTCTAACTTGGCTGAATGGTATTTCTCGAAATGCACTCGGTGTGGTTTTATTCATCTACACAATAGATATCATTTTTCCCCACTCAACGACGGATTGATTATTTTCATAAAATAATATATCATCATAAAAATATAATAAATATTCACATATTATAAAACAATGTAAATATCGAATAAGAAAAATGATTTTATTTAATTTCAATGGTTTTTGATTTTTTTTTTTAGCTGCCAATACACAATTTATTTATCTTAAAGACATATTGCTCTTATTACTTATCATTAACATGTTTATATTTGGTTTTAACTTTGAATTGTGGCTTAAAGTCTTATTATTGCATGTCAGTTAAACAATATGGACCTCACCTAAGTAATTTGATGCTCAACTCAAATTTCGCAAATATTTTCTCTCTCTCTCTCTTACATACTTTCCTCAATTTATATTGTCGTCAAAACAATCAGATAAAAGGTTTTTCCCGGAAAATAACATTTTCAATTTGAACAAAGAGATATAATCGTGCACAATACTAAAATACGATGTTAATTAGGTACATCTCTTTGTTGATTCAATTTTACTTCTAAACCTAAATGCTAAGAGAAGCTTTCATTGAAAGTATACAGATATAATATAAATATTTATCTGCAAAGATTACAAACTTCGATCTACTTCCGACTGAAAACTTAAACAGTAATTCGAAAGTTGAGTTTTTTTCGTTGTATTAGGTTTTGATACGATACTAATTTAAAGTAAATGCAATTATATCAGAGTGTAACTAACGTGGTGAATGTCAATGAACATAATTAATTATTAAACCCTTTTCCTACTTAATTATTATTTACTTTTATTTTCATAATAACAATGTTAAATATTGTTCACTTTAAAATATTCTAAAATAAACAAAGCGTTTACAAAAAAATTTAAGATAAAGTTAAAAATATATCAAATTTAATTCCATTATATTATATTATATAGGTTGCAAAATATAACATTGCTTACACGTAGTAATTACATACAATCAATTAAAAACATATAGGTAATTTTATTATTTTAATGATTTCAACCTATATGTGGTAAATATCTTTTCAATTTATAATGAAAATGTAACTAGAAGTTCTCATATATTGACAGGTGTTATTGACATTTCATTATTTTATTTAGATACATACATGTGCGGTCATAAATATGTAGCTTTACTTTTAAGATCTAAAAATTAAGACTGAAATAAAATTAATATTATGAATATTTAATATTAAAAAAGTGCAAAGCACAAGTTCTTATAAATAATTATATTTTTAATGTTAAATTATAAATTAATTATAGCATTATTCAAGTATTAATCGTATAATCTAAACAAAAACATTTGCCTTTCAAATTTAAATAATTATTCCAAGTATTTTCTGTCAGAATTTTTCTGTTTATAAAATAATAAATGAAGTTGAGTTGATTTAAATAGGTTCTTGAAATATAATTTAGTATTATTTGTGTTTGGTAATTATATCAAATGTTCTCATTAGATTTATGAGGTGTAGTTAAAATAATTATAACTGATTGTAATTTTATTTTGGATTAAACTAAAATCAGTGTAATGGAATAATCAATAAAAACCCAACAACATAGCCCCACGCTGGATTAATATACTTAAACTGCAAGTTTTGTTTCTCCTAACTGTTGTAGGTAACAGTGTCACACTAGACACCCATCACACCCGTTAATCTATTATTTCTGTCATCGCAACTCATCGTTTCCGTGTTAATAATGTACTCTTTACTAACTTGGATCCGTTTAAATGTTTTGGATTTTGAAATATTTATCATGACCCATTTCTCTCCCCATTTCATTGAAAACCACCCTAAATTAGACGTTGGCCGTGCTTTATGATATCAACACGTTAGCCAGTCTCACGTAGACTTTCTAATCAAATAATCGACAAAATATATCGTGTGGAGAGCTATGAGGGGACGATAACAACCCCGAGGGCGATTTAATTTCAAGGACAAAAACTCAAATGGGTTATACAATATTTATATACGCGTGTAAACTATACACATGCTGATACATAATTATTATTATTTTTTTTTTTATACCCTCATCGTGCAACGGTATTAGGTAGCAATTGGTATTCTTACAACGATAATATTATTATTATGTTCTTATATTTTTATATTTTTATCAAAGTATCAATCGTTTTGGTAAAATATTTAACCGTTCGCCAAAAATCTCGTGATTAGTACGATCGATTCACGGCATCGCCGGCCAATCAACGGCGAAATCCTCGAAAGTTTTCCGCTCATCTGCTCGAGTATGTGCCGTACACGTACGTATAATAGGTACATAATAATGTTATGCGTATTATGGTGTTCGGGACCGGAAAGTCGTACACGAGCGTTTTATTTCGGCTTTTTGGCGGTTATTAGCTCCACGTCGTCGTTGTTTACGATACCGCATACCATAATAATAATATATAATACCAACTGTACCTATATACATATATTTGCGTAAACACCGCGTAGGTACGGTCTAAATCCGATTTGAGCGCGGCGTATGCAATCACAATAACAATATTATTATATAAACACAGGTGTTTATTGTAACGTACGCGCGACCGACGGGTGCGGCGCCGGGAAAGTACGCATAAATGTGAATATATATACGTATGAGAGCAGA